TGATATATTCCCATTCTTTGTTGCACAGGTAGCAACAGTTTGTGTAATGCTTATGGAGAACTGGTTTGGCATCAAGGGTGTACAATCTTTTCTTCACAGCCAGCCAAAGAATGAGGCTGTGCTTAGGAATATGGTGCTTAAACCACACTACTTTGTGCCAAGGGAAGACTGGTGAGGGAGGATTGAAATACCTCATGGTGTGTGCCATTGAGAAAACTTTAGTATAGTACGTGGTCTTTGCATGAATAGCAATCGCGTTATTTTTTTTTTTTTTGTCTCCCGAGTAAATGTTGTCCAATGAATTTACTAGTTAGTTGTGGTACTTTGGCCTGCCGAATAAATAGGGAAAAAAATAAAAAGAATATGTAAAAAAAAAAAAATTATATTCTATATATACTCCCCTACTTGGGTTTATCTTGAAAAAATATGAGGATAAAGAGTGGAGATATATTTTTTTAGTTGTATTTGCGAAAGAGGCCAGATTTCAAATTAATGTTATTCTTTTGCATTTTATATCCGACTAGTTGGCTTGGTAGTTTTATTTCCAAAAGAAAAGAAAATATACACATTACAAAAATCTTGATGAGAGTGCACCTAATATGTGAATTGAAAAAGAGATCTGTTGGATTAATGTGACTAAAACAGTCATTTGAGAGGCTTCACAGCCCTTCCCAACAAGGCTAATAAGCAAATCCACATTTAACCGGAGATGGAATGAAACTATCATTGCATTGATGAAGACATGCCAGAACTAATTTGTAGGTGGAGACTTCAGCAATAAATCAGATAGGATAGAAAGTCCAAGAAGGAGATTGAAGCTCAAAATGAGCAAATTCAGCAATATATATATATATATATATATATATATAGCATCTTCACATATATGTTTGACATCCTTTTTAGAATATAGTTATGGGGGAGGTTTAACTTGATATAGCAAGGCTTGAAGAGCTACAAGATCTTCTGAAATTCAAGGCCTGACTGTGTTGCAGTTTCGGTTTTATTCATCAGTGCATATATATTGCATGGTTCGGTTTCAAAATGTATGTCAAAAGTTTTTTACTTCTGTCTTTCCTCAAATTGATGACCATGAGAGTCCTGTTGGGCTACTTGATTAATGCCTAAACATTTTGATATGCATTTCAAAAGATTGGTAATTGACACAAGATGCAATTGAAGTAAAATAAAGCTGCTAAAATTAGGAAACAAAGATACAAGAGAGTAACAAAAATTGCATATATTTGACGTAAAAAGCCATTACAATTTTAAAAAATTACAATTGAACTTGAAACATAGAGAGTAAGCCTAATTGTGACAGCAACATATATATTACCCTAGCTACTTGAATGTAAGTACTAATTTCTCTGGCAGAGAGCCTCACATAGGAAACATATTAAAAAGAGATGGCTCAAAGCAGGGTTCCTCATATAGTGATGACGACATATACTCCTCAAGTCCCCCATTGGAACGAATTGGAGGCTCTGTTGTTATTAGTGGTTGCATCAATAAGTTGACGGCATCTGTATTGTCGAGCTCATTATGAAGAACTCCTGTGAACCCATCTAGGAAGAGCTGGTGATCATAATCAAATGACGAGGAGGCTTCAGGGTTGATGCGATCTGTGTTGCTGAAGAATGTGCTATCCATATCCTGATGATAACTTTGGTGATAGCTCAACTCATCAAAGCCAAGAGAATGAGGAACTTCTGTACTGGTTTGGGGAGGCTGATCATAATCACTTATGTTCATTCCAGCCGGCTCAGTGTCATAGAGATTGTGCATGGAAGTTCCTTCAAATGTCGAAAATTGCTCAATATTATTGTTATCATTTATTCCATCAAAGCCAATATACTGAGGAACTTCTGTGATTTGGGAAGGTTGATCATAACCACCATTGTCCATTCCAGCGAGCTCAGTCTCGGAGAGATTGTGCACGAAAGTTCTTTCAGATGTCGAAAATTGTTCAAAATTATTGTTGCCATTTACTCCATCAAAGCCAAGAGAATACTGAGGAACTTCTGTGGTTTGGGGAGGCTGATCATATCCACCGGTGTTCATTCCAATGAGCTCAGTCTCGGAGAGATTGTACATTGAAGTTCCTTCAGATGTCGAAAATTCTTCAATATTATTATTGTAATTTACTCCATCAAAGCCAAGAGAATACTGAGGATCTTCTGTTGTTTGGGGAGGCTGATCATAGCCACCAGTACTGTCCATTCCAATGGGCTCCGTCTCGGAGAGATTGTACATGGAAGTTCCTTCGGATGTCAAAAATTCTTCAATATTATTGTTGTAATTTACTCCATCAAAGCTAAGAGAATATTGAGGAACTGCTGCTGTTTGGGGAGGCTGATCATAACCACCAGTACTATCCATTCCAATGGGCTCGGTCTCAGCGACTGTGTGCATGGAAGCTCCTTCAGATGTCACTGCATTATTGTTGTCATTTACTCCATCATCATCAATGATCACTGGCTGTCGATTTCTGTTGTTTTCTCTCTTATATATCTTGCATAAAACATAATCATCAAGCTGCAAGAAATTAAGAAATGTAAGTGTCAGCAGCAATATTATATATGTTTAATTAGTAATTAATCAATATATATGAAGCTTAATATATATTGAGATATATAAATAGTTATGTATATATATACCCTCGCTTTATTTTGATTCCTTTGAGTATGGGAAGGACTTTCCACTGTAAATTCTTGCATAAGCCAGGATGTTTTGTTTCCCTTGTGAGTTTTCCCTTCGTAGAATACCAATGGCCTTTTACGTCCAATTGTACGGCCATTAAACTTGACACCCTTATCAGCAGCTGTGGCCCTCCAAAATCCATTCCCAGCAGTTCTATTTGGTCTTGTTCCATTTGCATACTTTTTTTCTCTTAGTGTGAAAAAGTACCATTCTTTTTCTCCATGAGCTTGGTATTTCACTGTTAATCCCAAAAATGAAAAAAATTAATTTTCAATATTGTTAAACTCTTATGTATATATGAGAACATAATTCATTTGAAAAATAAGATAACAAATTAATGCCCTTATCATCATATAGAGACCATGCTCATCACTGGAGAAGAAGTTGAAGGAGACGGTAATAGCGGTTATAGTGGTTTCCTTAAAACACCCTTAAACCGGCCACTATAAACCCCCCTAAAACCACTGTAAGACCCTAAAACCACTATAAAACCATAAAACTCTAAAAATAAATCTTAAAAACTCTCAAACCACTATAAAACCCTACAAACCCTAGAACTCTACAATCAAAAGCCAATTAAATTATAATTTTCTTTTTTACCGAGTTGATAATAATCATGTCAACTAATGAAGTGAATTATCGTGTTAATTCAATTGCTTAAATTTCTGGAGAAAAATAAAAATAAAAATAGGCTTAAAACCCTAGCATACCACCATAAAAAATTTATGATCATAATGAAAATATATATGAGCAAAATAATATGTATGTAAACCTTATATAAAATGCATGGGAGTTTAATATATAAGAGGAATGATGACAGTAGTCTTAAAAAAAATAAAAAAATAAAATAAAATAAAAAATAAAAAAAAACCCACCAAAATCAGATATATAGGAATCAAGAAACCTAATATTAAGAATGATTAATTAACAAGTTGTATTCCGAAAAAGATCAAACATAGATTGTTTGAAGATTAATCAAAAGCAAAAAAGCTAAACATATAATGGATCATAACTGGCCTATTAAAGTAATTGAAACAAGTTATAGATCTATAAACCTGTAAGTTCAGCGGGATTATATTTATATATATTAACTTCGTGGATCCTGTTTTTTGGTAAGATTAGATTCTTCACTTTTCTTTTCAAGTAACATTCGATGAGTTCTTGATCGTTGGGCTTAAATCGATAACCTGGTGGAAAAGAATCTAGATCAACATATTGTTGTTGTTGACTTTTTGGACCGTTAAATGGTGTCTGCAGAGATGTAAGAGGTTGTTGCAGTTGACTTCTTGGACTGTGACTTTGTCTGATCACTTGGTTCTCCATTGACGTAGGACTCGGAGGAAGAGATGATTCCCACAACACGGAGAGGGGCGAGAAAAGGGGGAGAAAATTAATACTGTAAAAATTCTTCAAGTCAAAAGTAGTAGTGATCGATATTAGTTTTTAACTTTGTTGCATGAGATATATTTATATATATATATGATGATATATATATATTTTTGAATGGTTATCTGATAATATTAATCTAACCACGCGGTGTTAAAGGGATATATATGGATTCCTATACTCGGTTTACAATTTGGAGCCATCAGCCTCCTAGATTCTTCTAGAATTAATGGTATGATTTTCGGATTAAACATCATAAAAACAAAGATGAGATTCTTTTTTCTCTCCATTTCCAGCCGTTTAAATAAATAAAATGAGTATTACGGAGGAAATACTGTCAATGAAATATTTATATATATATACTTTTGATAATATTTATCTAACTACTGTTCAAAATATGTCTAAAATTTATTTATGACATGGCAAAAATATATTGGATACAAAAGTGTGATGGTGAAGCTTTCAAATTAGTTTAAAATTCTTGGGCAACAAGAATTATTCTTTGACAGCAAGTGCTATTTGGCTACCAAATGAAGCTTTGTAATATACTTGAACACCAAGTATATTTTTTTGGCTATAAATAGCCTTGCACTCATTCGATTAAAAGCATTCAAGAGGCATCCAAGAGTAAAAGAATTTGGATCAAGAGAGTATATTGGTTTTGTACGTGTGAGAAAATCATTTTGTGTGTGCAATCTTCAAGTGACACTTTTTTTTTTTTGAAAGGTAAATGAATTTTATAAACCAAGAGAAATACAAGCTAGGAAGTTAGCCTAGGCTAACCAAACATTACAAGCCCAAAGTATAAGGTCTCCACAAAGGCAACCCATACAAGAGCAGCATAAAATAAAAAGTTGCCCAAAGCTAGACACAACACAAAGTAGTGAACATGGAGACTGATTCTCGCCCTTCAAGATTTAGTTACTGTCAGGAGGCTTTGCCGGTGGTCGGATAACAGAAGCTGGGAGTTCCCATTCTTCAATAATACGCCTAGAGCTTAGGGAATCTGTGAGTTGAGATGACAATAGCTTCTGTCTAATTCTGTCTAATACTTGCTGCAGAAGTGCATTTTGGGACAAGAAATTCTTCTTGAAAATTCTCCTATTACGCTCCATCCATATGTTGTAAACAAGTGAGCTCAAAGCAAGCTTTGCCACTGAATTGCTATAGAACCCATTGTTGTTACGCCAGTGATGAGAAGCCCAAGTGATGAGATATTGCCAAGAGTTGGGATGGATATGGATACCACACCTTGACTGAATAAATGACCATAAGGGCTTTGTGTAGTCACATTGGAAGAAAATATGGTCATGGGACTCCAAGTGAGAATTGCATAGATAACAAATGGTGGCATTGATGTGGGATGTGCATCTTCGATTCAGTATAGGTAATTTCTGTTGTATGGCCACCCATAGGGTAAATGAGTATTTAGGTACTGAATTCTTGAACCAAACAAGGTGAGTCCATGATGGACTTGGCAAGTGTAGATTCAAATGCTTTAAGGTTTGCACTATTAAGAATGATCCACTAGGGGAAGGGATCCACACCACTTTGTCTTGTTTCTTTGGACATGGTAGTGGCATGTTGTTTGCTTGCAGAAGTTGAGGGATTAAAGTGGTAATGGAAGGAGGGAAAAGCCAAGTGGAATTTGATATAAAGAGCTTAGCTTTGTTTTTGTATCAAAACCAGTATCTCTGAGCTGCTGTGGTTGAATAAGCTGATGAAGTGGTCCAAGATTGCACCAGTTGTCAAACCAAAATTTGGTGATTAAACCATTGCCAATTTCATGTTTGACAAGAGGTTTAATTGAAGATCTTAAGCTGAGTAGTCTCCTCCAGCTCCAAGAGCACTGACCTGGAACCTTGACCTCCCAAATACTTCTCCCTTTGAGCAAGTATTGATTGATCCATTTAACCCATAACATTTGTTTGGAGTTGATGATATCCCAGAAATGCTTCATTACGGCTACCTCATTCCACATTTGTAGGTTTGGAATACCAAGGCCTCCAGCCCTTTTAGGCATACAGCAGAGGTCCCAAGCCACTTTTGAACCAGTTTTCTTGAGGGAGGGGCCTGACCACAAGAAGGATCTAAATAGGCTATCCATTTCATGGATAACACTCAATGGCAAAATGAACTTTGAGCTCCAATAGATTTGAGTAGAAAATAACACAGCTTGAATAAGTTGAAGCCTACCAGCAAAGGAGAGGTCTCTGCTAGTCCAGTGAGCAATCCTCTTGGTGATTTTGTCAATCAGAGATCGGCAGTCATTTGCTTTCAACATGGAAGTGATCAAAGGCACCCCTAAGTATCTCATAGGGAGTAATCCTTTTTCGAACCCAAGAAAAGAGAGAATACTGGACTCCAAATCTTCATTTACACTTGATAAAAAACATTGACTCTTGCTGTAGTTAATTTGAAGTCCAGAGAGTGCAGAGAATGACTCAATAGCATGCTTAAGAGTTGCAATGGAAGGCATGCTTGCATAAGTGAAGGGCATAAGATCATCTGTAAAGATGAGATGTGTGAACTTCATGTGTTTGCATCTCCAATAGAATTTAAATGGCATGGTAGATGTGATTTTGTTCAGCATTAATGAGAACACCTGCATAACAATCACAAAAAGAAATGGTGGCAAGGGGTCTCCTTGTCTCAACCCCTTGACACTGTTAAAAAAACCATTAAGTTCACTATTGATTGATATGGTAAAGGAAGGTGTGGTGACACAAGTTCTGACCCAGCCAATAAACACCTGAGGGAATCCCATCAGCAACATAGTTTGGAAAATGAAGTCCCAAGACACTGAGTTAAAGGCTCTTCTTAGGTCAATTTTTAGAGCACATCTTGGAGAAGTTGTATGCCTATGATACCCATTCAAAAGCTCCTGAGCCAAGAGAATACCATCATCAATCTGCCTTTCATGAATAAAAGCTGATTGGGCCTAGTCTATGATTAGGGGAAGGGTAGGTTTGAGCTTGTTTGCTATAAGCTTGGATATACATTGTATATAGTTGAACAACAAGAAATTGGCCTGTAGTCACTTATAAAGGAGGGGTTTGGAACCTTAGGAACCAGAGATATGTATGTGTTGTTGATTTTTTTGAGCAGCTTCCCAGTAGAAAAGAATTGGCTAATCGCCCTTGTAACATCATCCCCTATAACTGCCCCGGTCTTCTTGAAGAAATGAGTATTGAAACCATCAGGCCCTGGAGCCTTGTCACAGCTGAGGGAGAACATACAATCTTTGATCTCAGCATGAGAAGGAATGGAGCAGAGTGATCCAATGAATGATGCAGGAACACAAGGCTGTATGAAGGATTGGAGAGACTCCAGACTAGTGCGTTGGTGGGGATTCTTCCCAAGTAACTCATGGAAATGGGAAACAATTTCATTTTTTATGGCTGTTTCAGTTTCAAGGAGAGTGCCAGCAGGAGTAGTGATGGAGACAATTTTATTTCTGTTGCATCTTGATAAAATGGATTTAAAGAAGAAAGAAGTATTAGAATCCCCATTCTTCAACCATTGAACTCTGGACTTCTATCTGCAAATTTTTTCCTCAGTGTGCTTGAGTGTTGTATAGGTTTCAAGAAGCTGTTTCTCTTGATCTCTTAATGATTGATTGTCTGGTGCATTGTCAAGAGCTAACTGACAGCTAGAGAGGGCTGATTTTGCGCGAATTACGTCCTCCTTTAAGGTGGAAATTGGTTTTGCAAAGTTTAATTTTAGTGGCTGCTTGAGGCTCTTCAGCTTGGATACAACTTGAAACATAAGGTGTCCCTCAATATGTCTGCTCCAGTGAGTTTGAACAAGTGGAAGGAAATCGGCATGTTCATTCCAGCTGTTAAAGTATCTGAATGGAACCTTCCTCTGTGGATGGAGGCTGCCAAGGGTAATAATCATGGGGCTGTGGTCAGAGATACCTGGAGTAAGGAAGCTGTAATGAGAGAGGGGAAAGGTGTGGTTCCAAGAGTCATTGATGAGCACTCTGTCAAGCTTCCTTGCAATATTAGATATCCCAGGACTTCTATTGGACCATGAATGAAGTACCCCTGAGAATTGAAGATCTTCAAGGCAAGCTGTGTATAGACATTTCCTGAAATCAAGCATAGGCTTAAACAATTTCCCCTTTCCACCATGATCCTCCATTGGAGATTTGATTGTGTTGAAGTCCCCTCTTTAGATCCACGGGGATGAAGAGATGGTAGATGATTGTTTGATAATGTCATCCCATAGACATTCCCTCTCTTTGGCTTTATTGGCAGCACAGATAAAGAAAATATAGAAGGTTATTCTACACCTGAGAATAGTGGCATGGCAATATATAGCCTGTCTTGAACACTCAGGATTTGAAGATCCACTGCTCTAGGGTTCCATAGAACCCAAATTCTTCCCAATGATGAATAGGCATAATTGTGTGCAAGGTGCCAATTTCTGGCAATGGATTTGTGAGCTCTGTCAATATTGACTTGTTGAACCTTTGTCTTAATGATTGCAGCAATGTCTACCCTATTTTCAGAAATAAGAAGTTTGACTTCATCTTTCTTCAGGGTGCTATTCAAGCCCCTGATGTTCCATATAGCAATAGCTACCACTTGGTGGATTTGGAGGGTCGACCTTTTGGGAATAGATTCCTTCTTAGAAGGATGAGCTTTCTTGGTTGCCTCTTCTTGAATGCGTTGGATTTCTTAGCCTTGCCTTTGTCCAAGACAGCAGGTAAACTACTAGTTGATTCATTTTCAGAAAAGCTAGAACAATCATCTTCAACTGGTGGCAAGGAATGCTTTAGTACTGTGAGCTTCGATGGGGATGAAAGTGGATCAGGGGGTGAATTTGGCACAAACTCTGGAGTGAGGTTTGTGAGGCTGTAGGGGGTAAGATCAATTTTGAGTTTATCTGTGGGTTTGAAGTAGTGTGTGATTATGTTTTGTCCAGGTTGAATTGCAATGGTGGTATAAGAGGGGGGGGGGGGACTGGTTAATGGTTGCTGTGTTGTCCTCATATTGGGGAGGTGATTAAGTGTTCTTGTGAGGACTCTTAAAAGGTATGACTTTCCATTCTGATGAAGGTTGAAGGTTCTTTAAGGGAGGGGTTGATGAATGGCAGGTTCTAGCAGAGTGGCCAAAGCACTTATATACATAGCAAACCACAGGCTTGTATTGATAGTCCACAATTACGTTTGTAATATTCCCGGAGCTTTGGTGTAGCTTGAGGACAGAGGGGAAATCAAACGAAGCATCAATCTCAACACAAACCTTGGCAAATTGAGTTTTTTGCTTCTTTTCAGTGATAGGGTCAGCAAAAAGAGGAACACCAATGAAGCTGGAAATGTGGCTGAGCCCTGGTTTGGTCCAAAAGTTTAATGGTAGCCCAAAAAGTTTGATCCACACCAGTATGGTTACATGCATTGCTCTTTGGAAATCAGGTTTCCAATGGTTGAGAACAATATGCTTGTTGGTGAAAAACCAAGGCCCCTCTTCAAGTATGATGGTACACTGTTCTGTGGTGGAAAAATGGAACTCGTACAACCCTTTCTCTGAGTTGGTAACCTTAAGCAATCCCTTGTCTGCCCACAAAGTATTTGCCAGATCTTTGACCATACCAAATGGGAGAGCTTTGTGTATAAAATAACCAAGCAAATTAGACTTGAGATGGGAGAGTCCTATAGCACTGATTTCTTGTGGTAGTTCGATGACACCATTAGTTGGTAAGCTATGCTGAATATAATCCAATGGACATCTAGTTTGTCTATAGGTAATGGCAGCCTATGATGTGGAATGAGGGGGTACTTGACTGGTAGGGTTGGTTTAAGGGGTGTCTGGGTCATTGGTTTGTGGGTTGATGTGTGCCATGTGAACATATTGCGAAGTTGACTTGGCTGGTTCACGAGTTGTCAAGGGGTTTGCATTGGGGTTATCTATAGGACGGTGGTTGAGTGTAACATATGTTTTGTCAGTCTTTTTTCCCATAGGGGAAGAGGTAGCTGCGGTAGTAGGAATAGGGGATTCTGCTGACGTACCTGAGATATGCAAACCTGGATTTGAATTCAAATTCAAACTGAGTTGTGGGGTCTCTTCTCCCTCCGGGCTGTGGCGGTGGATGTGGTGGTGAAGGCTGGAACACTACTCAGGTAGGTGAGTCATGTTTGATGCAGGAGGTGAGATTGTAGGACAGTTGCGTCTGGATACCTCTTTATCAACCTTAGAATTCTCCATTTTAGAACAAGCAATGGAGTGATTAGAAATAATGATTTTGTCACTGAGCTCATTGATCCTAGCTCTCAGTTTGGCTTGATTCTTGAAACCATCTCTAATGATATCTCTGAGCCATTCCACTTCTTCAAGGAGAAATTTATACTTATAGTTGCTCCTGTACTCCATTAACTCAGTGCGCAACTTGAATATCTCATCAATCAAAGCTTGAGTATTAGATGGATCAATGTCCACCATAATATTGTTGTGATCATCCACATATTTGAAGTGGGGGAAGACTGGTTTCCCTAGAAAGGGAGAAAAGGTAACTTTTTTTGTGGCTTTTTTCAAGATTGGTAATGGTGGAACATTAGTGGGGGAACTGCTAGGCAGGGATGATTTTTTGAGGATGGACTTTGGAGGTGTGGGTTGTTGATGTGGCTAGATGTAGTGTGAAGAAGCTGATGGACTATGATTGATGGGTGTTCCCTGAAGGTATGATAAGTTCTTTGATGGTTGGGAAGACTCGTGAAGGTGGCTTTTGGTTAAGGAAGTATGAGCTGGATGTGAATGACACTTGAAACTCGTATTTGAGTAAGTTTTTCTCTTTGTGTAAACCATATACTATTCGGGTATTTCTTGAAAGTGTTGTGAGTCTTTTTTGTTGTTGAGTAAGTGGTGTGAGAAGAGAGATTATTGTGGAGAAGAATCAAAACATTCTTCAGTTTGTAATCTTCTTCTTTATAGTGATATGAATTATCATCATTCGTGAACGTAACTTTATTTGTGAGGGTGAACCACATATAAATCCTTATCTCATTTGTGTGTGTACCTATTTATTTTCTTGTCATTAAAAAGATATAAAAAGTGAAGAAAAACACATGCACACAATTTCCCTTGGCACAAAGTGGTGTAGTTTAAGCATCATATCCCTAAACACAATACCATTCTATGGCTTGCTATTAGAGGAAGACTTTACACATTGGATGCTAAACCGGTACTATACAAATACTACATTAATAGATGCTACTTATGTAACTCAGATTGGGAGTCAATTGATCACATTTTCTTGAAATGTGAATTCTCATCTCAAGTTTGGAGGTTTGTTCAAGAAGTGGCAGGGTTCTGCATCAGTCCAAACAATTGGAGTGAAATGATCCATTGGTGCTCTTCACACTGGGTATCAACTGAATTTTTGGTGCATAAGTTGTTGTAGGCTGCTGCAGTTTACTTTATTTGGATGGAAAGAACTGCAAGAGCTTTTAGAAATCAATCAATTTCCACCCTCAGTATAATTGCACAACTCAAAAGTTGTGTAAGGGACAGATTAACATCAACCAAACTCAAAACAAGCTCTGACCTCATAAAGATCTTTCCCTCACTCAACTTCAAACCCTCTTCGAACAGGGATGCTCCACAGCAACTGGACAAGCCCTACTGCTATAGTAACACAAGAATAGATTGGTTGCACACACAACACATGTGGATGGAATGATCTCTGTAAAGTCAGAGGTGGATGATTACTGGCCATCAGTTGTAGATTTTGGTGTCCAAGGTTGTTATTGTGCTTCTCTGCAAATTAGAATACATTGCAATATAGTGCTGTCATTTTGAGTTGCTATGTACTATGTACAAGTTCTCCCTTGTTTTTCCCTCTTTTGGGGCCCCATGTAAATTCTTCTTACTAAATACACAAGCTTACCTTTTTAAAAAAATAAATAAATAAAATAAATAAAAGAAAAAAACATGCACACAATTGTTAATGTAAAATCCTACCTGTTCATATATCATGCCAAACAAAAGGAGCTAAAATCTTTTTTCTTAATTTTCTTTTTTCCTTTTTCCCCTTGTTAAGGGAGGAGCTAATCTTGCACATATATTAAACATTTACCATTTAAACAAACACATCCATGGTAGATAAACAATCCAATGAAGTTGTTATATATAGAATCACCACCTACATCATCGCATTGTCCCCATCAACATCAACATTAATTTCTATATTGTGATACCCTCAGATTCCCGAATGCAGGTTGGCCAGGCCCACGCCCGAATACCCGAGGATATCAAAAACAAAATCGGCAATAAACGAATACAGAGTACAAAAGAATAAAGAAGAATAAATAAGATGCTGACAAGAAATTAAAATGATAATCTAATAATAAACCTCAGAATATATTTCCTTTAATTAATAAACTCTTCTGATACAACTGATCTTTCAAAATACAACTCGGGAATCCATACTGTATGGACCCCTATAAAATCCAAACTAAACAAATGACAGCAATAACTGTCTAAATCAAGAAACTGAATCATAAAGGAACTCCTATGTAGCATCGGAAGAATGAAGTAGACTGATCTCCGCTCAGCACGAACAACCTCTACTCCTGACGAACACCTGAAAAATAATGGTGGGTCAGGCCCACAAACAAGTTCTACTCTACTACAGTCCAAGCAGAGATCCGATACACGTATATGTCCTAGTCAATCCAACTGTAACTAGTAGTCCGTATATATATATATATATATACACACTAAAGGAACCTCACTAGACTATAGGGTTGTCTCAACCTGAATAGTAGGCAACATGCAAAACGCACATATAGTGGGTATGAGTACCTAAACCTACCAGGGTACACAACTACACTATATCTAGCTACACATCCCTGGCGATATACGCACCATAACCACTGATCCTGAGACTCAAGCTCATATCATGGCACCATACTTATATATAAAAAATCTAGTAACCATCCTATTCAGTATAAATTAATCCTCCATAAGTCATTTAACTTGTTCAGCTGACCTAACTTGAATATAAGTAGGACTTAACATTTTAGTTAATCCATTCCCTTATATAATAAATTAATCCTCCATAAGTCATTCAACTTATTCAGCTGACCTGACTTGAATATAAGTAGGACTTAACATTTTAGTTAATCCATTCCCTTATATAAAATAGGTAGGACTTAACTGATAAGTTAATCCGTCCCTAGAATGCCACCGTCCCATACTGGTCCATTAAACCACACAATCCAACAATTGATGTAACGATTAAGGAAATACATCAAATAATCCAGAAATAACTATGATAATATGATATCAAGTTATCACAAAATAGGAATGACTTATTATTTATTTAAGCTTCCTATATCATATGTCATACATAAACTGAATCTTATACATATGATGATATTTTATTATACTGTCAAATAAGCATTATCCATATCCAATTCATCCTACACATTTAATCTCAATTGTTAAAATATATTAAAAGATTAAATCCATTCGTTTGTTTAAAACATTCAAATAGCAAGCATCATTATGATTGAGTCTATTTAAATTTATTTAAACCCAAACCTAGTTCCTATTTAATGTTCAGGAATCCTAAGCATGTTTCTACGTTCCATCATTCCACAGATATGTAAAATACATAATTTAAACATGTAAAAATTCACACCGGAACTAAAAACAAAATCATGCATTTATCAATTCATAACACAAGAACAGATATGAACCAATTTCATAAAACCTATGTTCTAATCCAATTAAACATGCATAATTATTTAATTTTATGTGTTTAATAAATCCTAGAATTTTCTAGGCATGTACCGAAACACGAATCAAAGGGAAAGAGATAGAAGAAGAACTTGTCTTAAACTTTCGGATCGAAAGTTAAACTTTTTCTTCCTTGATTTTCTCTTTACAAGGTTTTTTCTCATCCTTCCTTCCTTTTCCTCCTTCTTTCTCTAACTCTCTCTCTAGAATATATCACGTAGCTATATATTTATAAGCTAACTAAAATAATCCTAACCCTTTTCCCAATCTAAGTCAACTTAAAAAAAATAAAAATAAAAATATTAAAAAGGTAAGTAAAATATGTTACGTATATAATTTATGTATATCTTTATTAAATAAATAAATTATACACATTCCATTATTTATTAATGGATTATCCAATAATACTTAAGTTACCATAATATTATAAAGTAACTTAAAACATAACACGTATCAAATCTACGTATATTTTTATTATTTAAATATAAAACATATACATCAGATTAAATATTACTACCCAAGTTACCATAAAAATAATTAATAAATTACTTTCCTTTTTATATATGTATATAATATATATCTATATATATACATACACAACTATTTATGGGTAATAATCCATACACATCCAACCTCCTATCCAAGTAGTTCATGGAACTCAATTGGTTGGCCTATTACTACTAACCATAACCATAAAAGAAAAATAAAAGAAAATAATAAAAGAAAAGAAAACATATAATTTACAATTAATCAAAACACCATTTAAGCATATAATCTAATTAAACTATTAACACATAGACAAATACAAATAATACATAGACACATAATTAAATAATAAAATAATACCTAATTCAATTAAACACCTAAGCAATTAGTCAAATAATCAATTAAATAATTAAAAATACAATTAAAACAAATAAATAAATACCGAGACTATCTTTTTAAAATTAGGGGTATTACATTCTTTTCCCCTAACAAAAGAAATTCCGTTCTCGGAATTCGCCCTTACTTTCTTCCATTATACTTGAAAACTGTGAGCGAAAAACATCCTCATATTCCCAAGTAGACGCAACCTTACTATAAAGGCTCCACTTAACTCCAATACACCAAGTGGTATATAGGGTTCCTATATTTTAAGAAACACAATAATCACACAATGCGTAGATTGTATCAAGTGACAACGTAATCCTCCCATGTCGACAAAGGAATGATCTATATACCTCCAAGTGCCATAGAATATACACACAAACTCCTATGCACCCAGCGCTAATAATTTGGTAACGCTAATTCAGAGGCGACTGCCTCAATTGCGAAACACAATCCTCTAAAAGTCAATGTGATAAGTAAAATTGATCTTTCTCCAAAAATCGCCTTTCTTTCTACATGGAAAACAGAACGAGCAAACTACTCCCTTATAGAAAAACTCTAGTATACGAGTTCAACTATTTACAATATCCCACTGTCGCCTCCCAACCGCGCGCAGTTCAATACAAAGGGAAGTATATTTTTTCGGCATATTTTTAAATGAAGTTGAGGTCTGATTGTACAACCCTTACTTCCATTTCCAACCAACAAATGAGAGGTATATATTGTGAAAAATACAAAACCTCCAAAGTTGTCACACTAACCTCCTTGTGCCAACAATATCACAGACAAAATTCTGACAATTGAAGTAAACACTTCCAACTATCTATGAAAAT